AAACTGCTGAATTGTACATGTTCGAAACCGTTTGGAACCAGTTTGAACTGGCCAGAAATGGCTGTAACCAGATTTATCCGGTTGGAACCGTTTCTAACCGTATAAAACCGGTTTAAACTGGTTTAATCGATGCAAAAAGGGCATAAAATGCTCAATTGTACGTGTCCGAAAACGGCTGCAACCGGTTTGAACTGGCCAAAACCTGTCTGTAACCAGATGGCTGGAACCTCTTACAACCGGTTTTATCGATGCAAAAGGGCGTAAAATGCTCACATCTGCTTTTCCGAAACTGGTTGGAGCGGTTTGGAACCGATTTGAACCTGCCAGAACTGGATAGAAACGGTTGGAAACGGTCCAAACCGGTTTGAGGCGCTTTTAAACCGGTTTTATCGAGGCAAAAACGGCATCAAATGCTAAATTGTACGTGTCCGAATCCTGTTTGAACCACTCTGGAACCAGTTTGAACTAGCCAGTCCTGGCTGGAACTTCATTGGACCGGCTGGAACTGGTTCTAACTAGTTGCAACCGGTCTTAACCAGTTTTATGCAAGCACAAAAGGCATATAATTCTCAATTGTACATATTTGAAACTGGTTGATACCGATTTGGAACCGGTTTGAACAGGCCAAAACTGGCTGGAAGCAGATGGAATCTGTTGGACTCGTGTTCAACAGGTTGGAACCGGTTAAAACAGTTTATCAATGCAAAAAAGACATTCAATGCACAATTCTAGAAGTCTGACACCGGTTTGAACCGGTTTGGAACTGGGTTGACCTGGCTAGAACTGGCACAAACTAGATGGAACTAGTTGGAACCGGTTTATACCGGTTTTTCGATGCAAAGAGGCATAAAATGCTCACCTGAACAGGTTGAGAACTGACTTGAACTAGCAAGAACTGACTGGAACCAGAAGAAACCTGTTGGAACCGGTTCTAACCAGTTGGAACCAATTATGTTGGCACTCACCATTTATTATGTACTTATGAGAGAGTGATTTACGTAATGTGAAGTTGTTTGCATTTTAAAGATTCACAGTGTAGAGAATGTTGGCATACCTATATTCTACTTTAATGTAATGTGGCTGAAATTTCTTTGGATATTGTACTATTGGAAATTTTAAATGATCTTAGCACACTTCTAACTAAAATGACTGCTGCATTGTGCTCCAAAAATCAACCTGAATATGTCTACAGTAGATTATTCTTGGCAGCTATTAAGATATGCAAAATGAATTTTGCCAAACTAGACAATACCAGCTTCTAAAAGTGCAATGAATGAATTACTAAATACATGAAAAGTAAAAAATAGTTATCGGCTCTTTGCAATTTACCTCTGAAGTTCGGGAAGTGAAAATGAGCAAGTGAAGCTAGCACTTTTTTGAAAGATGCACATCTGGACTAAGGCCAAGCTCTATACTCTATAACCCATATTACACCCATCAATCATACACCAAAATAAAGGGAATTAAAGGTTCTTTGAACAATACCTAAGATATACAAAGCATTTTTTAAATAGCCAGTATAAATAATGAGGATACCCAAGGAAATTAATTTTCTTTAAAATTCTAACTCTATGCTAAACACGAAACTGTAGAGCGCCAACTAAACCGGTTTTAAAGATGCAAAAAAGGCGTACAATGTTCAATTGTACATGTCCGAAACCGGTTGGAATCGGTTTCGAACCAGTTTAATCTGGCTAGAACTGGCAGGAACCAAAGTGAACCGGCAGGAATCGGTTCGAACCGGTTGGAAACGGTTTAAGCCGTTTTATCGATGCAAAAAAGGTATTAGATGCTCCATTGTACATGTCTAAAATCGTTTGGAACCTGTTTGGAACCGGTTTGTACTGACCAGAACTGGCTGGAATCAGATGGAACCGGTTGGAACCGGTTTAAACCGGTTTTATCGATGCAATGCTCAATTGTACATGTCTCAAACTGGATGGAACAGGTTTGGAACCGGTTTGAACTGGTCATAATTGACTGGAACCAGATGGAACCGGTTGTTTAAACATGCTTAATCGATGATAAAAATTCATATAATCCTTAATTGTACGTGTCCGAAACCGAGTTAAACCGGTTTGGATCTGGTTTGGACTAGCCAGTCCTTGCTGGAACCAGATGGAACCGGTTGGAACCGGTTTTTGACCGATTAGTACCGCTTTAATCCGGCTTTTGCGATCTAAAGTAGCTTTAAATGCTCAATTGTAGATATCCTTAAACCGGTTGGATTCGGTTTGGAACCTGTTTGAACTGGCCAGATCTGGCTGGAAATAGATGGAACAGGGTGGAACTGGTTTTAACTGATTGAAACGGTTTAAACCGGATTTATCGATGCAGAAAAGGCATAAAATGCTCAATTTTACATGTACGAAACCGTATGGAACCGGTTTGTAACCGGTTTGAACAGGCCAGATCTGGAAGGAACCAGATGGTACCGATTACATCGATGCAAAAAGGCATAAAATGCTTTATTGTATATACCCGAAGTTGGCTGGAACCAGTTTGAACTGGCCAAATGGCTGGAAACAAGATAGAACGGTTGGAACCGTTTCTAACCGGTTGAATCCGGTATAAACTGGTTTTATCGATGAAAAAGAGGCAAAAATGCTCAATTGTACATGTTTGACACCAGTTGGAACCGGCTTGAACAGGCCAGAACTGGACAGAACCAGGAGGAACCGGTTTTCTTTGATCTTAACCGGCTGAAAATGCTTTAAAACGGCTTAACCGATGCAATAAAGGCGTAAAATGCTTAGTTGTACTGCTCAATTGTAGCTCTCCGAAACCTGTTGGAACCGGATTGGAACCGATTTGAACTGGTCAGAACTGGCTGGAACATGATAGAACCCGTTGGAAGCGGTTCAAACCAGTTTGAAACGCTTTTAAACCAGTTATATCGATGCAAAATGGGCATACAATGGTCAATTGTACATGTCCGAAAGCGATTGGAACCGGTTTGTACTGGACAGAACAAGATGAAAACAGTTGGAACTGGTTGGAAACGATTCTAACCGGTTGGAACCGATTTAAACCCGATTGATCGATACAAAAATGCATAAAATGCTCAACTGTGCATTTCCGAAACCGGTTTGGAACCTGTTTTTGGAACTGCCAGAACTGGCTGAAACCGATTGGAACCGGTTGGGACCGGTTTGAACAGGCCATTACTACGTGGAACCAGGAGGAAACGGTTTGAAACGGTCATATCCAGCTGAAACCGCTTTAAAGCGGCTTAATCGATGCATATAAGGCGTAAAATGCTCAATTGTGCATGTCCTTAACAAAAGGAATAAAATGATTAATTGTACATTTCCGAAGCCGGTTTGAACCGGTTTTTATCCGGTTGGAACCGTTGTTGACCGTTTGGAATCGGTTTAAACCAGTTTTATCGATCCAAAACGGCATACAATACTCATTTATATATGACCAAAATGGGTTTGAACCGGTTTGAAACCTGTTTGAACTGGCCAGAACTGACTCGAAACAGATGGAATCGATTGGAACCGGTTCTAACCGGTTGGAACAGGTTTAAGCCGGTTATCTCGATTTAGAAAAGGCATAAAATGCTCGCTTTTACATGTCTGCAACCGGTTGAAACCGGTTTGGGACCGGATTGAACTGGCCAGAACCGCCTGGAACCAGATTTTACCAGCTCTATCCGGTTTAAACCGGTTTTCGATGCAAAAAGGCATACGATTATCAATTCTATATGTCTGAGAACCGGTTTGGAATCTATTTGAACTGGCCAGAACTGTTTGGAACTACGTGGAATCTGTTCCAAACGGTTATAACCGGTTTGAAACGCTCTGAAAACGTTATAATCGATGCAAAAAAGACATAAAATGCTAAATTGTACAAGTCCGAAACCGGATGGAACCGGATTGGAACCGGTTTGAACGTAACTGAACTGGCTAGAACCAGATGGAACCGGTTTTATCTGTGCAAAAAACATAAAATGATCAATAGTACCTGTCCGAAACCGGTTGGAACCGGTTTGGAAACGGTTTGAACTGGCCAGAACTAGCTAAACCTGATAGAACGGGTTATAACCGGTTCTAACAGGTTTAAACCGATCTTATGGATGCAAAAAGGCATAAAATGATCAATTTTACATGTCTGAAACCAGATGGAACCGGTTTTGGAACTGTCCAGAACTAGCTGAAACCTCTTAGAACCGGTTAGAACCGATTGCGACTTGTTTCAACCGGTTTTATCGATGCAAAAACGGCATAAAATGCTCAATAGTAAATGTCCAAAACCTGTAGGAACCGGTTTTGGAACCGGTTTGAAATGGCCAGAACTGGGTGGAACCAGATGAAACCGGTTAGAGAAGGTTCTATTCGGTTGGAACCGGTTTAGACCGGTTTTATTGATGCAAAAGGGCATAAAATGTTCAATTGCACATGTCGAATCCGTTTGTGGAATCGGTTTGGAACCTTTCTGAACTAGCCAGAACTGCCTTGAACCTTATGGGACCTGTTGGAACCGGTTCTAACCGTTTGTATCCTGTTTAAACCTGCTTTTGCCAAAAGGCATACACTGCTCAATGTTACATGTCCAAAGCAGGTTGGATCCGGTTTGGAACCGCTTTGAACAGACCAAAACTGTCTGGAAGGAGATGGAATCTGTTGGAACCGGTTTATATCGGTTTTGTCGACGCAAAAAAGGCATAAAATGCTTATTGGACATGACCAAAACCGGTTGGAACCGGTTTAAACTGGCCAGAACTGGCTGGTACAAGATGGAACCGGCCGGAATCGGTTGAACATTTGGAACAGCTTTATGCAGTGTTTATCAATGCAAAAGAGGCATTAAATGCTCATTTGTGCATGTACGAAACCGGTTTGGAACAGGTTTGAACAGACCGGAACTGGCTGGAACCAGATGGAACCGGTTTAAACCGGTATTATTGATGAAAAAAAGGCATTCAATGCCTATTTTTGCATGTCCGAAACTGGTTGGAACCGGTCTAGTACCGGTTTAAACTGGCCATAACTGACTGGAACCATGGGATTGAACCCATGATCTCCCACATCCAAGGCGGATGCTCTGACCACTAATCCACGTAGCTATTTATATGACGAAGCCCGAAGTTATTTCCGATTAGAGTCTTTAATTTTTTGGGCTCAGTTTGAAATTAGAGCTTCCATTTGAGTCTCATGACGTCATCTATTACTGTTATAATTGCGTCATAGTTCTCTTTCAATATTAGTTATTTGACTTGCATAGTCGAGAGATGGTGATATTCCAAGTTACAGTGTGTGTGTGTGAGATAGAGAGAGAGAGTGTGTGTGTGTGTGTGTGTGTGTGTGTGCGTGTGGGTGTTTAGGGGCATATTAAGATTAACGTTCAAACAAAACGCACAGGAGTCGTGTGATGAACAAGCAAAGTATATATTTCAGTTACAGTGATTTTCTGTTTAGCTTTTAATTATGTAAAATATTGAGTGGACATATGAATGAATTTAAACTGTAGATATGGACAAGTGCATTTCTCCTTTCTTCTCAAATGCAAACATTTCACATACAAAGAGCAATTAAATAAATTAAATTTATACAGAAAGCTTATTAATTTACCGTACTTTCAAACCCTCGATTTTTAAGATTGTATTTAATCTAAGACATTTAACTCATAGGTGATAACGTATGCAAATATAAAATGAATCTGTCTCACTCTAACATGCAGACTACATTTTATTTTATTCATTATCATATTTTAACAAGTAAATTCTAAATAATATGGTTTTGTATTCTTCTCTTTGTTTTATTTGAACAGTCCCAATACTTTTAAACTTAGGCAAGCATGCATTTCCATGTGTGTGTCCCAGTCATGTAAAAGCCTTAATAACATCGTAAGAAGACGTAATTTGTCTAAATTCGCATCGCATACAAAGCAGCTGCTACTCCCTATGATACCTCCCCCTTTATCTTGCAAATGTTTGACAGTTTCATTTTCAGATTTACTAAGCAATCCGCAAAGTATATTTTTGAAAACCTGAAGCTGAAATGGATCTTGCATTTTAGATGAGTAGTGAATGGGGTTGTATATGGCATATTAGACCAAAAAAGGAAAAAAGCATGGTGATGCATAAGGCAAAGTAGGGGAATTAGAGAGGGGTGATGTCATGGTACTGGACACTGGCAACAATGTTGCAAGTGGCTTACCTCTTTTGGACAGAACTCTGGGAACAATGTTGCAAGTAACTGATCTGAATACACGCTATCCCTAGGTAGAGTCAAATAAAGTAGATACATAGACATTTATAACACAACCATAGATTGATGAACATCAATCAATCTATCACACCTAAAATATACAATCGACCAAACTTTAGGCAAGAGCTAGTCAATCTTTTCGAGGTAATGGAGAGGCTCATTACATATAATGTGTACAACAGATTTTTTAAAACATTAGGCAAGAAAGCGTAAATCATTTCAAGTAACATGAGTGTCCCTAAAATGGCTTTTTGGTTTGTTTTTATTAACACCATTCCGTTCACACAGAGGGCATCGAATAGGTCTTCTTCTCTTCCTTAAACTCTGACTAACCTCTGGTTTATTGTCTCTCCTCTCCATACATGGGTAAATCTGTACGGAACAGCATCGACGATAAGAGAATAAAGGACTCAACGTTTGTCCACATCTTGTGACGAGAACATGTGAATTGAGATTTCCCACCAATCACAACACGCGTATAAAATACAGCAACTGCGCAGAGTATGTCTTCCAATCTGAAGAGAGCTGACAATGACGTCACATTCTCTATTAAAGCGCGCTACTGTCTGTGTGCAGTGAATCAATGCGACAATGTGATGGCTAAGTAGTAACTACCAATCTTAACACGGACCTACATTCCAGAAGTCGATTTCAATTCGGATGTAGTTGTTTTTATCTCTTCTTCGCAAAAATTTCTTCCTTTACTCTCATTTACCACACGTCGAGGATTTTAAACATAAAATGAAAGAAGAATTGGAGAAATGTTTATAACAGCAGAAAAAGCAGAACAAGTTTTTATCCGTTAACAGAAACATCGAGAAGAAGAAAAGGCAAGAAGGAAACAACAGGAGGAAGAAGAAGAAGAAGAAGAAGAAGAAGAAGAAGAAGAAGAAGAAGAAGAAGAAGAAGAAGAAGAAGAAGAAGAAGAAGAAGAAGAAGAAGAAGAGAAAGAAAGGCAAGTGAAAGTCAAACGGTAACGGTACTCTTGGACATTTTGGCAGAGTTAAGGAGGATGACACAAATGTATCAGACTTCCTTATTACTACACAAGAGAGAAAGACCTTCCGAGCCAAACAGCCCAATCCTGTTGCTACGCCTGAGATAACCAGCCCTAGTAATCTCTTCTAAAGTATCTCCGGGAGCAGGTCCAAAAGTAGACATTGGCCGTAGCAAAGGCTTAATGCAGTTATAGCTTACTGCTTTTCGTTTATAAGTTGGTTTGTTTATGTTTATAACAAAGAAAACACCCAACGTTCCATTTTATGGTCACCCATCCCTCTCGAAAATAGAATGTATTCATTTTGCCAAAATCAATTAAACTCAAATATTCCTTTTTGCCCATGATCTACGAGTGTAAGTGCATGGGTGCAAGTGCTAATTATTCTAAAAAAAATCAAAAACCAGGATACACTTACGTTTATCTGACTGTTCTATTCATGTACAAATTCTACATTCCTATTCGCAATCCAACACTTTTAAAAGGTTCATAAACTTTTTCTGTACCTTTTTTGTTTACTCTCTGTTTTAAATTCTTTACTTTAATAGGTTTTGCTCTTTTCTTCCTAAATTTTTTCCTTCTTTCCTTCTCCTTCTCATTGTGTTGAAGTTCTTCCTTTGCCGAGAGCACCTCTTCTTCGTCTTCCTGTTTCTGCTGTTGCTAAGTGCAGTCTGAAAACCAATGTCCTTTCCCTTGACAATGATAACAGGTATTTTGACCTTTGTCTCTTTAGACACCTGTCTTGTTTTTCCGAAGGTCTGGACATTCTGAAGACCAATGCCCTTTCTTCTGACAGATATATTAAGTATCTTTACTTTTATCTCAGATGGAAGGGGAGTAGTCGTCGGCTTATCTGAAGAAAACTTTCGTATGACACCTCGCAAAGCTCTGATCAGTGTTGACTCTTCCATCGTTCTGGTCCGTGAAATGAATAATGGGATGGAAAGCACCAGCCTTACACACACACACACACACACACACACACACACACACACACACACAGGTCTGATATGGATATAAAGGTGTCATTGGCCTTTCATTTGACGTTTTGCAGTCAAGATGAAACAATCGCATCATTTTGTGAAGAAACGAGAAGAAAGTAAGAGGCAGAAACGTGTTCTATCGCCTCACATTGTAGCCGAGGTCATGGCTCAATTTCATGCCAGCGATTTCGAAGATCACATGGGTGGAACAGAATCCGGACCCAGAGATTCTACACCAAACCAAATTTCACAACAACTAACCCCTGAAAAATATTTTCACATTCAAGAAACGGGCAATCGCTCCTACAGGAACTCGGTAAAATTTAAAGATTTCAAGTCCGACCTACCGCTGCAGAAAGGAGACCAGGTTATCACTGATATGTGGGATTCTTTTTTAACCGTATAAAATAGCAATGTGAAGCCAAAATCGACGATCGCTTGAGACTTTCCATTCATCACGATAGTTTGATGTCACCCGTTTGGATCGAGTTCAGTCGTCCGGTAGTATTGACACCTTCCAAAGTCATGGACAAGATTCAACACCTGCAACAATCTAACGACAAGATTCACATCAACGATGGAAAAGTAACACAGTTCTTCTCTTTCCCAATGGGACAGGACGCAAAAAGCGGTTATTGGCGGAAGACCTTCGTAGCATCAAGCATCATTCAAATTATCAACACTCAAGACGAGATGTGTTTACCCCGTGCCATCGTGGATGGACGAACGTATAACAACAAGAACGACACGGACGAATGGAAAAAAGACTGAAAGAACATTTGAAATCCTAACCGAACCAAACAACGAAGAGAAGCAAAACAGTTACATCAAGCGGAAATATCCAAAGACACTCCCTGTGGCATTCCTGAAATGCACAACAAGAAGTGCGCGGCCCTCTGCTTTTCCGAGGCAAAAATTTCAAGGACGAAAAATACATTCAAGTCTATCATCATAACGAACATTTCAAATCCATTACTAGTATCGTCCGTTTTTTTGAGATAAAGTCATAACTGTGAAAAATGTGACTATGGGTATAACAATTGAGAGTAACAAAAGCATTGTGGTTCGAAATATGATGTATGTTTGGCCTCTAAACCCTGTCCAAGCAAAGGACAAGAACGAGTGCATTCACCAGCTTATCAGCGCACTTTTGCAGAAAAGTGCCTATCAACTCCTGAGACTGTGGCCTCATTGAGGAAATGGCACAGGTGTCGATAGTGCAAAGGCATTCGTATGTTCAGAAAAGAAACGATGTCACATTTGGACTTGGATTACCATTCCAAACATAAAGAGGAAGATGACCAGAAGAAGGAATGTAATTCATCTTTTTTCAATTTCGAATGCATGCAAAAGACGGCATTCACATTCCTAATATCTGCATCGCTCATCGAGCATGCGAGAAGAGCATCCAAGAACCTACCTTTAGTCACTGCCCTCACTGCAGTAAGATTCCTGGAGGACGTGAAAAAATATTTTTGGGACCGAACACGCTAACCGATTTTGCCCAATGGATCTTAGACCCCATTGACAAGACGTGAAGCCAAGAGGACATCAAACATTACGGAGATTGACATCGCCATGTCACGGTGATGGCTCACAATCTCTCGGAATACGAAGGGCAATTTTTTCTCAGATACTATACGGAACAAGGAACCGAAAGTCCTAAAGTGAGTTTGAACAAAACCAAATTCATTTCCATGCAAGTGGGTCAAGTGCAGTTAAAGATTCGAGGAGTTACTTAGCCATGCCATTGAGTCGAATGCCTAAAACGTTTGGAATGATAGAAATGGCCAAAGGCTATTTCCGCAGTTTTTCAATACCGAAGCCAATCAACAAGCCGTTTGGTCCCATTTGCCTGAGAATCACTACT